TTTAGTGATGGCCATAGATGTTACCACTACCAATGGGGCACAGTGGGCTGGGCATAAACGCCAAAGTTATGACCAAGAAAAGGGAGTTTGGGTTTATTTATTGGTGTGTAAGTTTTTAATTTTAAAATATTTAATACATATTTTCTTTTGGCGCTAAAATGCTTTATTTTGTGCATGTTATTTTGTTTCCGTTTTTTGAGAGAATTATTTTTAGATGAAGCTTAAAATGTGTTCAAATCTCGCTGATTTTCCATTTAATTGTGAGTTTGTGGTACACTTTGGGGCCTCCACTTTGGGTTCTACAATATCATCTTTAGCCGAGATTTGCAGCTTGAATTTTCTGAATTATTTCTCTTTAATATTAGCTCTCGGATTGTTCAATTTTCTCTTTATTTAAATATAGTTTTAATGCACAATTCAGCCATGAAGCCCACTGTAATTTGAAACAAAGTTGGCAGACCACAAAACTGTACAGCAGCCAGCGGTGGCAGCGGTGCTGGGTCCAGGGCTTGGGCAGAGGGGAAAGTGGAGCTGCTGGACAGGGGGGTTCTGCTTACTGCTGCTGCGGGGGGAGTGCCTCTGCCTCTGCCTCTGCCTCTGCCTGTGGCCGTGCAAACAAAACAAATGCCATGAAACATTTTAAAATTCAAATCAACGCGATTTCTGCTGTTTCCTTATTTTATTTTTTTTTTTGCACAGTTTTTCGTTTCCCTCTCCCCCACTCTGTTCTTTATGATTATTATTTTTATTTTGGCCTTTTTTTGCTGTTGTTGTTGGTTTTCTTGAATTTCTGGTCACGTATTTGTTTCGTTTCGTTTCATTTTTGGAAACAATATTGTGTGCCATGACAATAATAAGAGCCGTGGACGGACGCGGGACGGAACCTGCCACTGCCACTGGCACTGGCACTGTGTAGGGATGGGTTTGGCTCTGGCTTTTGTGGTCGGCATGGGGCGCTCTGAGTTGCTGTAATTTGAGCCAATTACTGGGTTATGGCGGGGGGAAGCGAGGCTCTGAAGCACTCTCTCTGTTTTGGAGATGTTGCAAGGTGTTGGAGTGCTTAGATGGCGATGGAATGGAGATGAACGAGGAGGACAAATGAAAACCCAAAAATTGAAATTTATTTTGGCCAAAACACACACACACACACGACTGAGCACAGCCTCAGGGACATGCACAGAGCAGGCAGAGTTTCTGTGTTTAGCGTTCCATTCCGCGCCATTCCGCTCCGCAACGTTCCGTTCTGTTCCCTTCGGTTCTGTTCGGTTCTGCTTTTGGCTTTATGATTTTGATACCCTAGCGAAGGGTATTACGAGCTTAGATGTTATTTTACACTTTAATTTTAGTTTAAGTCGATAAATACATTGGTTTTGGGTTGCTTTTAGCTTTTAAATTATAAGAATTATATTATTTATTTATTTATTATCATTTATTATATTAAATAAATATATTCTCTCTAAAAAAATGCATTAAAAAATGTACAAATTATTGCACAAAATTTCTCAACTAATTCACAACAAAATCTATCAGATTTCCCTGCTAAATTGTATCCCCCTTATCATATATAAATTACAAAAAAAAAAAACACTCCACTTGGCACACCGCACTTTCCAGGGTACTTCTGCCTTCGTTATCCTTCCGTCTATGCATTTGCTGTCTGGTCGCATAAATCGTCGTCCTTCTATTGTGGCCTCCTTGTTCGTATTTTGCAAAATGCGAATACGTGATCTTCGCATAATAATTACTGCTCCCTGCTCGGGTCTCTTCGGTCTCTCTTTTTATTTGGGCATAATAATTCTTAATGGCCATGGCACATTTCTCTCTCTGTCTCTCTCTCTGCCATTTCGTGCATTTAATGATTTTTTATGATTTCCCTGCCTCTGCCCTGCCTCTGTTCTTTATATTTTTGGGTAATTTGATTTGACTCTTGTTATTGTTCTCTCCCTCTCTTGGCCAATTTGTTGCTTGTGTTGCTAGTCTCCTACTGACTTTAATAGGTTTTTAATTATTTTTCATATTTTTTCGAGAGAGATTTGTTGTTGTTAATAACGAAACCAGACGACAGCTGCGGGAAGAAGCGTTGAGTGGAGCCTTTGTTCCAAGCGAAAATGAATCTGACTGAGAAAAATGAATGTCGAAACAAATACAAAAAGATATTTGAGACTTGGCGTGTGTCTTGGCAGGGTAAACTTTATTTTATAAACTTCAAGTTTTTGGTTATCAAAATATTTTTATGTACAAGTTCTGCTAAATTTTATCAGCCAGACTTTTCGGTAGTTTATAATTATTGTCTCGCTTTTTATTACACATTAATTATACACAGAAATATTTTATTTAATTACTTTCAAGCAGCCTTGAATTCTGGTTACACTTTTCTTGGAGTGCACAACTCCACTTAGCGCTCATTTATTTGCCACAAATTGTTGGTCAGTTTGCCAAAAACAAATTCCCAAATATATTTTTGGTTCAATCAAAATTCGATTTAAAATTTAAATGGAACAATGTAGATAAATAGAACAATTATGTTTGCAGATCGAGCTGGATGTGTGGCTGAAACTATTTTCTCTGCCACCTGATCGTGTGTCCCATTAGGGCCACAAATTAGCTCGCTGCCTGCCCCGAATGTGCCTCGCAATTTACGAGCTTTAGGCCGCATCGAATGGGACATTTGTGCATTTTGTTTGGCCATAAATCATAATGGCTGGGCTGTGACTTACTTTTCCTTAATTGATTTACAACACCCTCGAACCTTGCCCAATACAGAAACGACCAATGCAGGGTCTGCCTCTCCAGCTACTCCTCTTATCTGTATCCTCTGCAAATATTCTTGAGGCAAAGGGAACAAAGGGCTGCAGTGGGACTTGCTCAATGCTCGATTGCGCGACAATCGCAATGGGACCATATATACGTAGATACATATATATATATGGTACGCAGCTTATCATGCATGTGTGTCTGACTCCCTGGGGTCGCATTGGAGCATTTTGCAAAAATAATTTATGGCAAACTGTTGATTGTTGACAGGGGGGGCAGAGGCTTGGGCCAGCCATAGAAAGAAGCAACACAAACAGCTACAAATAACAGAACGAAAATGGTTGGAACAGATAACAGCAAAGAGATAAACAGACCGGTGCTGGGCTCTGGAATATTTACTGCAAAAGTTGGAACTATTTTCACAGCCATAGAAAAATATTGAAAAATCTTCAAAATAAATCTGAAATCAAACACAATGCTCAGAGCCAAAAGCAAAGCTTAGTTTTCATTCTAATATGTGTATATCTATACCCTATGGATTAACAATTGTAATCGCGCGGCTGTTGTTGATTTTTCCAAGCGAAACGAACTGAAACAAAAACAACTTTGCTTTGCTGTTGAAGCGTTTTCAAAAACATTGCGTCATTCCACACAGATGGCAAAAAGCCGAAGCGACCCCCTGCAACAGCGATCGAAGCGCTGAGTGTGTGGCATCGAAATCAGAATCTGAACGGTTGGGGCTGCGGCTTCGTAGAAAAACTCAACAAATTCTACGAACTCGGTGCTTGTGTGAGACTACAGCGACATGATTGATATTTACTTTGCAAATAAAAGCTGTGATAAAACTACAACAGAACAGGGCTAATCATGGAGTACTCACGGGGTTTCTATAGAGTAACTCTGGTAGTATCTGCAGCAGGATGACTGCCCCCCCTCGAGAAAGCTATTAATGGACGCGGCTGTAATCTGCAAACACAGACAGTTGGGCGACCCCTCTGAGAGTAATTGGAATTTGTACTGTTGGAAGATTGCAAGAGCTAGGAAACGGCATGGGGATTGGGAGATGCCATTGAAGAGGAGAACTTCAAGTGGGAATTGCTGCGAAAAACTTCACCTTAAGAACACTTCTCTTGCGGGTGTCTTTGCCTTCATGAAATCCTTGAAACTTACATCCAAATATTTCTCAAACATTAATTATAATTCTACATCAATGTGCGATCAATAGAACATTTTCTCAGTCTGTTTGTTATCGTTGGCACCGCTGCTCATTAGGTTCAAGTAAACATTGGCCACTACTCTGCCATATAGGAAGTCATTTATCACTTATCACAGAGCTCAGTGGGGGGAACAGAGCACTGCAATAGGAAACTGAGAGCTTTACATGTCACAGATAGCAGCAGCAGAAGTCGCAGGTAAATGTTTGTAAGACAAATAAATATGAAAACGAACAAGCTAAAGGTTTAATAAACTTTCGTGGCAGATCCAAGAGTTAATTTGAGCTAAAAACATGCCTTAGTTCCTCATTGCAAAGTCAAACAAATTGCCCTAAGCCTAAAATCCATAAAAAGCAAAAAATTAACCCTTTTTTAGTTCTTTATTTCTGAATTGTTTATTCAGCAATTAATGTTCTTTGATACAGTTGAGAGCGTTTGTGATTTATGTACGAGGAGAGACCCTCAGCGCGAGTGTGTTGTGGGGGGGTTTGATATGAATATGAATATGAATATGAATATGAATATGAATAACCGTATCGAAGGCGAACAACGAGGCTCATTGTTCTGGTCGCTTGTTGCTCAATTGCGGTGCAACAGTTGGATACAATTAATACTGGGGAACGTGCGACGAGAGGCGTGATAATGCGCCATAATACGATCAAAGGTGAGAATTTATAAGAAAGTGAGCCGAAAGCTGGTGTCCGTTCTTTATTTTTTTGTATCTGAAACCTAGCTGAGAGCTGTGGCTATTTGTCCCAAGTTCGTGCAATAAATTAAATCCAATTTCACATCATTTTCAAAATGAAATTCAACATTTTCGTAGTTTATTAGGCTGCCTGCTGCACACACACAGCGCACAACAAAAATTAAGATTTACACATTTCATGTTCCATTTGTCGCTCGATGGTTGGTTTTTTTTGTTTAAGCTATTTACAGATTTAGTATTTAAACATTATGGCTCTGCTGCAGCGAGTTAATTGATTCCCATTTATTGTATGCAGAGATTTTGGCAATTGTTATGCACTATTTTTAGTTGATTTTTATGCATAAAGATAACAAAACTTAAATGACTACAAAAATATATGTATAAAGGCACCTGAGTTCAAATTGTTATTGCCAAATAAAGTACAAATCAAAGTAATAAAACGAAAAATCAAAAATCAAAAATCAAAATATATATATAGATAATCGAATAACGATGATAATGGGGCATAAAGATATACATTCATTTGTATGTTTAACGTAAAGCATTTTATAATTAATTCATTTTATTTAATGGTATGTTTGTTGCTTCTTCAACTCCCTCTCTCTTTTGCCACGGCTTGACTGACTTTGTAGATAGTTTGTTAAAGTTTGTTTTTGTTTTTGTTTTGTTTTTCCCTGAATGAAATGCTCGCCCCCTGGTTTCCAGTTTCTCCCCACCCCGATTGTTGCTTTGCTGACTAGTGCGTTGTCTCTCCATCCCTTCTATATACGTTTTGCTTTTGCTATTTCAACCTCCATTTGGACTACTACTACTACTACTACTGGCTATGCTCCTTTCTGCCTTTCTGCCATTCGCTACTGCATTTTGTACAGCTGCGGTGGCTCCTTGGTGGATGGTATGCCCTGATCGTAAGCACCGAGCTCTGCCTCGTAGAGCAGATTGTTTATGAGATGCTTGACGGCAATCTTTGACTTTGAGGTCTTAAGTTTGCGTATGGTTATGGCCACGTACTCCCCGAATACGCCGTACTCATCCGCATGATTGGCACTCAATCCTGTTTGCTTGGGCGGTGTGACGCCGCTGCTAGAGCTGCTGTTGCTCGATGTTAGGGCCGTGCCTGTGGCCAGCTCTAAGGATGTGTTGCTCGTGTTGCAACTGGAACCGTTGTGGTTATGGTTGTGGTTGTTGCTGCTGCTGCTGCTGCTGCAGTTGTTGTTGCTGTTTTTGGTGGTGTTGCCGCCGCCGCCGCCGCATACTGCCAACGCTGAGAGATCACGATCACGATCACGTTTTTGTGCCATGTTTGTGGAATGTTTTTGCTGGGTTTGTTGCTGCTGCTGCAACGCTTGATTTTGTTGTGGTTGTTGGTGGTGGTGGTGGTGGTGGTGCTGCTGCTGCTGCGGTTGCCCGTTGCAATTGTGGCTGTGGTTAAAGTGCTGCTGCAGCGCATGAAACGCGAGCTGGCCGTGGCTCATCTGCTGCCCCTGCGATTGCGATTGCGAATGCGACTGCGAGTGTGCCTGTGCAGCCGTTGCCGGCGATGACGATGTCTTGATGGGCGTCAGTGTCAGCGCCCCCACAACATGCTCCATGCCCAGGACCACGCCAGCACCATTCTCGTCCAGCGCCTTGCGCTTGCGATGATTGTAGGTGAGGTCCGTTGGCTTGTAGTAGTTGATGGGCGAGGGCGTACTGCTCTGTCTGTCCAGCATGCCCATCTCTGATTCGTGCTCTATCTGTGAAAGAAAACGCGAAAAATATTGAAGAGGTTTTCTAGAAAATTTACTGAGGAGCTTTACTTCCTTTTCCTATCTTAGTCAAGTCTGTGGCCCTGTTTCATCATGCAAAGATGGGTCTGATCTGTCGAAAAACACCGGAACCTGTTCCCACCAATGACATTGGCGTCTGACGAAATCTGTGTCAGTTTATTTCATCAACTTAATCGCCAGATGAGCATCGCTCTTATATTATTCTAATAATATCGTCAGTCATTCCCATGGGTCGATGCCAAGTCTAAGGAGCATTAGGTCGCACCTTGATAAGGAAAGTGTCAAAAGTCGAGTCATTCGGTTAACCTGTCTGTGAATGATTATGTCTTGGGAAAGTACTTCTAAATCTTTGGGAAATCCAAACAAAATTTCTGTAATTTCCATTATGTTATTATAACTAATTCAACGTATTGTTTGAAACTCTACAAAAATCTTCTCTAATTACTCCCACGAAACCCACTTGATTTGACGGCCACTCGAAAGTTAACATAAAAACAAGTTTAAATTACGTTAAAAAACAAAAAAAAAGAAACATATCTTCAACCTGTCGGATCAATTAAAGTGCGATTAACAGTCGGATCGGTTTGGATGGGGTACTTACAATTTCTGTTTTCACATCTTCGGCGCTGATTCTACAGTAATTCTCTCCGTCCAAATCGGAGGAGGAACGTGTCTGCGAAAGATCAGGGAAAAAACATAAGAGAATTAGCGTTGAATTCGCCAGACAAAAAGACACAAAGAAAAAGTAATAATAATAATAGCAGAGGTGTAGTGGATCCAGTGGGTTGGGAAGCAAGAGAAATAGAAAACAAATTAGAATAATCATAAAGAAAAGCACACACACGAAAAAAAGATCACACAGATGGGGCCCCAAGTCTGAGACGAGTCGAGTCGAGTGGTGGCGCAGAGTCGGGCCGCTGGCGATTGAATTAGTCACGGCGGAGCAGGACGGGACGGATCGGAACGGAACGGAACGAGAGGGAGCAAGTCAACATTGAAGTGGACCAACGGGTAGACGGACAGAAAAACAGACAGACGTGAGACGAGTAACCAAAACACACGAAAAATCAAACGAAAATAACACAAGTATACAAGTTTTTGATAGGCATCGAATTTTGTATGCCCTATTACGAAAATGTACCTCTCTTATGGTTCAATTCTAAATCAATTTTATGTTTATATGCTTTAAACCAATTAATACTGCTAAAAGCAATTGAAAATGTATAATTTACATTGCAAATACTAAGCTCATGCTTAATCTCTCGTCGCTTCACCATGCACCCTGCATACTTTTCGCTGCAGTGTATTAAATAAAAACCGAATGAGCGAATGAAGCACAAAGCAAACATCAGCAAAAAGCAACAGCAACAAAACGCAGTCCAGCAGCAAGTTGCTGTATTGGTAATGCTGCTGCGCCGCTGCGGTTTTGGTGGGCGACCAAGCATTGATGAGCGGGAAGGGATTGGAATGGGAGGATGGGATGGTGATAATGGGAAAGGGGCAGGGTCGGTGCAAAACGTGGGGCTGCCGATTTCTACGGCTGATGCAACACCCATACACATTTATGTTCGTGCATGTATGATTGTACGTGTGTCTATTTGTATGACGGTCGCAACAGAAGCAGCAGCAGCAACAGCAGCAGACAGCGCAATCAAAGCCAGTTGACACTCACACCAGTGCACACTGACGCCAATACAAGCTTCTCCAAGCGCATGCGACGCAATAGCCACAACCCAGCACAGTGGGACGAAGAAGAGAGACGACGAAGGGCATTAGAAACATTGGTAGGATTCTTCTGACTATAGTCTTGTTTTAATATTGATTACCCATAAGGAAACCCAACTTCTACCCTAGTTCAGCTCCCAAGATCAAGAAATTACTTTACTTTAATGAAATTACTATCTCGCCCCACTGTGCGCCACCGGTTGCGCCGATACCTCTGCCTTGCTGCTGCTTCTGAGGAACCGCTAGACAGCGACAGCGCGTGTGCTGCTGGCTGCCGCAAAACAAGTCAAACCACACTACACACACACACAAACTCTCGCGCGCATGCAAAGCTCCAACGAAAAGTTTATACATACACAGGTATGGACACATGTGTATGCAAAATATGTAAAATCAATAGCGTTTTTGAGAGGGGGTGGGGGTGTGCTTACCACAGTTTCTGAGGAGCGGGGACGACGGCAGCCACCACCTGTATCGCCGCTCTCGTCGAGATCTTCCTCGGCATTAACATCCCTGTCCAGGCTGAGCTCCCGCTCTCGATCACGGTCGCGATCCCTGACATTGGCTGCTGCTGCAGCCACAGCAGCTACAGTGGCAGCGATGCGGGCGGTAAGCTGATCGTGCTGCTGCTGATCAAGAGCCTGTTGATGTTTGCCCACTGCCGTCGCCGCTGCAGTCAGCTGTTCCAGATCCAGGCTGTGCATCAGCGTCAACTTCTCTTCCGTCTCGGGGTCTACGTCTGGATCGCAGTGCACTCCGTCGACGGTCATTACGGTTATGTCTCCGTCCAGGGCACTGCCGCCGTCTCGCTCTCCGTCCAGAATGAAGCGAATGGCCTCGTAGGCGAACCACATGGGCTGGTACAGCACGCCCCGGCTTCGCCCGCTAAGCACCTTGCCGTGCTCTCGGTGGAAGGAGCTGCGCAATGACTTGATCTTGGAACGAATTGAGCGAATTTCCGTGCCGTACTTCTCACTGAGCAGCTTCAGGGCCTCGTACTTGGTCTGCTTGATGTGGTATCCCTTTGTGTTGGGGTCCCACAGCACCCGCTGACACCGGTAGTCCTCGATGAAGCCCAGGATGGTGGCGCGCGACCATTCGACGCGGTCCACAGGTGTTGGCGTCGGTATTGGGGAGGGCGGCAGCGCCAGTGGCAGTGGCAGAGGCAGCACTATGGCATTGGAGTTGGCATCGAGCTTGTACTGCTGCGCTGCTGCGGCGCTGCTGGACATCGTGGTGAAAGTTTTCCTGTACCCGCTCCCCCGTGCAGCTGCTGGTTGTACTCAATGATGGGGCTGGTTGCGTGGTGTTGTGGTGCGGTGGTACGGTGTTGGAGGTAGGTGCAATGAGGCTGAGGTGGGTAGGAGGTGCAGGCTGATGCTGCTGCTGCTGCGTCTGGAGGTGGTGGTGGTGGGAGAGTAGGAAGAGAGAGAGAGAGAGAGGAGGCAGCAGCAAAAAAGGCGAACGCAACGCGACGACGAAAAAGCGTCCACAACACGTTGCTTTTGACTTTCGACTGAGGCGGTGGCGGTGGTTGGCGGTTGGCGGTTGGCGGCTGCTGGTGTGTGGTGTGGTGTGGCAGAGGAAAGAGCAGCGGCAAGTGCGGCAGCGGCGCGTCCAAACGGCAGCTCAGCTGCACTTTGTGCGAGAGAGAGCGAGAATGTGAGCGTGGAGAGCGAGCCAGCGAGCGCAGGCAGGCGACGTCAAAACGCTGTCGCTTCGTCCAAAATCAACGCAAAGGTGTGCGACTCTCTCCGTCTGTCTGTCTCTCTCCGTGTGTCCGTCGTCTATCCGTGTGTGTGAGTGCTGCTTGCAGCGGTGGCAGCAGGCGGGCTTTTTTTTGCGCGACGACGGAGACGAAGACTGAGAGACCTGTTGTTGCTCGACTGATAATGCGCGCGGCGCTGCTTTGTTGTTGTAGTTTTCGTTTCTATTTGTTGCTGCTGCTGCTGCGCTATCAGCTGTTTTATTGCATGTGGTTGTTGTTGCCACACTACGTGCGACGCCGCTGCCACTGCTGTTGCTGTTGCCACTCGGCTGGCAGCTACTTTGCGTGCTATTGTTGCTGTTTTTGTTGCCGCTACGATCCCCAACACCAACACACGTTCCTGTTGCTGCTGCTGCCGTTGCTGTTGCTGCTCGCTCGTTTTGTCGCCGCTTCGTCGTCGTCGGCATTCGGCGCTCGTCGTTCGCTGTTGAAATCACGATTTGTACTAATTTCACATATTTAAACTGTGTGTGGCATGCGCGCTGCTCCAACTGGGGCCGGTTGGTTGCTGGTTGCCGCTGCCGCTCGCTGTTGCTGCTGCTGCTGTTGGCCGTAAGTTCGTCACTTGCTTTTTCGCTCCTCCTCCACCGCCCCTCCAACTACCACAAAGCACTCTCCCTCTCCACTCTTCTCTCCACACACACTCTCTCGCACACACCTTTCCAACCTTGTGCTTGTTGTTGCCTCGCTCGTGTCGCGAGTTGCGATCGCTGCCGCTGCTGCTGCTGCTGCTGCTGCTGTCGCTACCGTCAACAGCAACACGTTGCACAGTGGGCCCCGTTTGTTGGCTGAGCCTTCTGCGCATGTGGCACAGGGCTGCCAAGAAAAATATCTGGCACTTTAGGCACAAAAGTGATGGCGACCATGATGCCAGAGCCTGGAGAGGCAAGCGTCCATATACCACGCGTATGTATACATTTGTACCTATTAATAAACAGACATATGGCAACAGTGTGGCAAATATGACTGCATTGTGGCAAGTTTGATTGCATGCCACAATAATATGAATGGCATAATAACCCCAATATCAAACATTATCCAATGTATTTTACCCATCCCCATGCCTTATGTTCTTTGTCCCACTGTGTTTCGGCAGTCAAAGCTGTAAATATTGTTGCTGTCGCTGCCTGGTCCTGCCCTACTCACCCGCCTCCTCCCTCGCTTAACACTCAGCAACACTGCGAGAAGTTGTTATCGTTGCTGCCGTCGTGTTGTTGCTGTTGTATTTCGGACAAAGTAAAAACGAATAAAAAGGTAAAAACCGAAACGCCCGAAAACACGGTAACAAATTTAGCGAGTCAGCAAAATAACAGATAAAGAATCAAAAAAGGAATTGCATTTCACGGCGAATATGGATGTTTTTGGGTCTCTGCTTTTATACCCTACACTGAGAGTGTTACTATTTGGTTCAGAGGAGTGCAACGCAGCATAGGAAACATGTTCAAACCATTGAAGAGCAAGTCTTTGTTGGAAAACTTTTAGGTGTTGGGTTAATTTCATCTGATATTTAGCCGAGTAAAATCACATCAAACTCTCATCATGGTAGATCGACTTTCAAGGGTATTAACACAGCGGTCTCCTACACTAATTCTCCTTTTCGTTTTTGCTTTTGTTAATCATGAGGATGGTTGGTTTTTTGTGTAGAGTGAGGAGAGGCGAGGCAGGAAAGTTCTGTGGCTCTGCGACCCGACGTTGCCGTCGCTCACGTAGGCGCAGCGCATCGGCCACATGTCTTCGTTTTGTTTTTGCATTTACTGTTGACATTAGACTTTATGGTTACTTGCGACCGACCTGCTCTACATGCTCTCGCTCTCTTTAGCTCGCCTACACTCACTCTCTTGCTTTGCTTGTCCGTGTCCTCAGCACGTGCGAATATTTTCTCATTTCGCCGAAATTCGTTGTAACTGCAAGTGTGCAGTGTTTGTGTGTGTATGCGGGTAGGACGGGGACAGAGTGACTATGCTTATCAAGTTGTTCAATCTCTCTCTGCCTCCCTCCAGCTGGCTGTGCTCTTGAGCTCCGCTCCCTCCACATACAGCAGTTTCATATTGCGGAAGCTTTCGCGTCTGCTTCTTCTTATTTTACTCTCCATCGCGCCTTAACGACTCATTATCAGGCACTCTGCTGCTACCGACGTCGGCAGCGACGTGTTTGCCGCACCTACGATAACGGCATTAAGCTGACATTTTCATGCAGCCCGGGAAACCAAACCGGCTCCTTGTAACCGATTCCCCCTCTCTGTTGAGCAAGCATAGTAAGTCGCAGTCCGAAATTGGCTCTGTCTGCGTCAGCGTTGCGGTGCAGAGAGTTTTTTTGCCATCAATTTTCGCCTCAAGTTGACAAATTGACGTTCAAAGTTGTTTGCGCTGCACTTTTAGCCACAGTTTTGGCTGCGCTGCCTGTTTTTCCTCCTTCCATCCCCCTTCAGACAACACAGCCAACGGTATCCATTGCTCGTTCCCGTTGTTTCTGGTTCCTTATTATGTTAAGATTTTCCACGCTCTTGTCATTTCGCGCTACCTTCAAATGTGATTGCCAGAGAGCGAGAGTGCGGGAGAGCGGTTAGTTTTGTGTGTGTGTTTCTTTGGAACTGTCGAATTTACAGTGGGTGGAAAAAGATTATGCAGAAACAAAACTATTCCGGCCTTCCATTAAATGCAAACTAAAAATACATAACACAAGTACATACATAAGTAGTAAAAATGTACACATTTATACATATTTATATCAATTGGAAATTAGGAATCATTGTTGCCTTTAAAACACTTATCAGCAGATGAAAACTTGTTTGCTCCACTGTCCATTTGAGGAATACATAAATTGCAATTTCTGTTCCTGTTGTCGTTGCCGTTGCCTCTGCTCTGCTGTGTTTTTACTGTTGTTGCTTTTTCAGTTTGTCATTGCCATCTAAAATGCATTGAGCTGTCACATTAGAGAAGCAACTCGATACGTCAGTCCCCTCGCTGCCGTCCCGCTCTTTCCATTATTTGCACTGCTCTGCCAGTCTCCATTCAACTTCACTGCGGCGCTCTGTTCTCCTGCACTCACTCCCTCTCTCTCTCTCTTCTTCTGATCGCCTACCATCCTTCCATTAGTGGACCCTAAGCATTTTACTCAAAGTCGTGAAAGCATTGAAAGCGCTCTCCTTTCTTGGTGTGATGGTTCTTTTTTTTCAATCAATTCCGAAGGTGTTGTTGCTGTGGCTGATGTTGCCCGTGGATGTTGTTTTTGGTGCTGCTACCGTTTGTCGTTGCGTGCACTTTAGTGGAAATTGCAGTTGACGTTGGTTGTATGGACTACTACTCGTAAGTAAAAATACATATTTTTATTCAATTTCCAACATCACGTCGTCGGGACGTCGCCATTGTCAACGCTGCAGTCGCAGTCAGCGTCAGCTTTGACGTTGGCGTCCGCGTCCGCGTCCGCGCTGCTGTCATTGTCTTTTGTTATTTTTGCAATTGCCCAGCTCCCCGACTTCTACTCCACCCGCTTTGTTTTTTTTTCTGATGTTTTTTCTACTCTTTATTTCTGTTTTTCTTTCTTTTTTTTTTCAATTATGCATTGTACAATGCTTTCCTCTTCACTTTTTTGCAGGGGGGGTACAACCGTGCAACGGTTCAACTGTTTAGCCTGTCGCGGATTAGCCGTGCAGCTGTCGCTGCTGCAGCGCTGCTGCAAAAGCATTTCCTTGTGCCCGAAGCTCTGTCCCGACGCTGCTCTGCTGCCGCTGCCTCCACCTAGTCGCCTTCTAAATGAAGTGGGCTGCCAATTTTGTTGCTGTGCAGGGTAGTCATGGAGTAGTAGGGTATATGGGGATTTTTAAGTTGTATGTAACAGGCGGAAGTAGAAGTGGATTTAGGAGGAAATGGAAAAGGTCGTTAGGTATTGAATTAACTTGGAATTATTTTTAATTTCCAGCCAGGGTATTCCATGGTCGCAATAGTCGTGGGTTTCTTCTACTTGTTGTGTACCCGGCTAAGCAGCAGCTCCTGAGTGAGTGAGTGAGCGAGCGTTTACTTATTTACCTAGTTCCCTGAGTTTTGCAACTGATGCGTATCTGATGGCCGGACTGGTCTCTCGGGGGCCCGGTTCGGGCTTAGGCCTGGCCTGGTGCTAACGGGAAGTCGCCGTTGAGTGAGCGGCCAAAGGAAGTGCATTTGAATGAATGCACATCTGATAAAGCCTAATACCCATAGACAGCCAACGCATTTGCACCCCCCGCCGACTGTATTCTACTCACTCGACTGGCCAAGGCACTTGGGGAACTGTTTAATTAACTTTTTTTGTGCTTGTTGCACCGATTTTGAGCCAAACCATGCGAGGCGTTCAACTGATTTGTGGACTTGCCACATGGAACAAGCTTTAACGAGGAAGAGGCTCCCCAATAAGTGTAACACAGAAGTTTGCATTAGTTCTTGTCGGTTTCATTTCTTTTGATTATGCAATTTGTATTGCAACTTTTATAAAGTGGTGCGCCTGTAAATACCCAAGGAAATTGTTATATTCCTTTCCGTAACTAAATATTTTCCAACCCATCTTCAGATCTTTAACTGAAAAGCAGCGTATTCCTGTGCTTCTTTTTGCAAAGTTTTGGGCATTCATTTAATTAGAATCCAAATCATTTGATAGGTACAAAGACCCTAGTCATAGTTGCCCCTTGCTGGCTTTCCTTTGCTGTCCCGAGGGAGGTTTCTATTGACATTGTTCGCAAAAGTTTTGCCTGGCTTCCATTACTCTCTGGGTAGTAGTTGGGGCAGGGGTTTTGCTTCCAGTTGTTTTGTTGCAAAGTTTCGCAATACTTTTTGTGCTGAAAAGAGATGTTAAAGGGTTGCAAAAGCAGCGAGAGAGAGAGAGAGAGAGAGAGGGAGAGATAGCCCGGTACGGTGAATGATAACGTTCTGTGTATGTACAGTCGACGACACCCTCTTTCAATTTCTCGCATCAAACTTGGCTATTACGAACGCCCCAAACCCCCTGCCATGCATTGTTCTCTGTTTACTTTGCTACTTTAGTTCTTAAAGGAAGCTTCCACGGGTGCTAGGGGCAGCAGCAACCCCCTGGGAACAACAACATCTCGCGTGTCCTTCGCATCCCAGCCATCCATCCATTCATTCATTGACACAACTCCATCATTAAAACTTCAATGACCTTCCTGGGTGGGACGGGAACGAGATTCGCTCTGAATGATGATGATAATGATGATTGCTTTTCGTTGCCGATTCAAACTTTGACTCCTGTGATCTCTCGCTCTCTCGCTCACTCGCTCTCTCGCTCATTCAATTTGGCAGCGAGTTTCCCTCTTGTCCTGAAGTTTGGCTGCTGCTTCTGACATTCTATTACCGGCCCGGGGTCCATATATCTATGAGAACTATCTTCATCTGTATCTAGACACGCATTAAATGCTTTCTATTTAATGAGTTCGCCCCCGCTGCCCCTCCGTTTGCTTGGATGCTGCTGATTTACATGTTTCTCTCTCTCTCTCTCTGCTCTGTTTAATTGCCCGAACCCGGACTTCATGGAGGAGTATCCGGCATATGCTTGACCTAATGGTGTCTTGCTTCCACAATTCCTGGAGCTCTTTCAGCCGAGTCTATCACACGAGCGAGGTCTATGACTCATTTATCATGTGTCAGAATGTTTAACTAAATGGCACTTTGCCGAAAAAGTTGACTCTAGATGGCGTGGTTGCCTCGAGGGGAGGGTTCCAGGGTGTGGTGTTTGCTAAGTAGTTAGTTTTAATAGTTAGCCGCCTCTCCGCTGTCCAACATAAATAACTCGCCACGCAACCGCCCCCCCTGCTTGTTGTCAGGAAAAGTGCTAACAATCTTCCAGATACTTTTTTCGGACGTTGTTAGCGTGATGAATGAGCCACACACGAGTGGGGCAGCATAATTACACAGTATATGCAGGAACAGTTCACAAAAGGAGCCTCGCTGACCACAAAATATCTTAATCAGAATATTCCATTCAGCTGCTGCAGGAAGGAGGCAAGCAAAAGGGTGCCAAATGGTTGGAAAATTTATGGGCTTCACCCCTTTTGTGGGGCATTTGCAATAGCTTAAAGGCGAGACATTTCAATGAAATGAATTTACATGAAAAGGAACCCTAAAAGGCTCTCAAAAGAGGCTTCAGCTGCCAGAAATATTGCAAAATAAAATCCATAGAAGGTTCTCCAATTAAGTAAGGAGCCAATGAAGCAGCCGTAATCCGCTAACCTTACGGCACACATCTGTGTACTTATTGCATTTTGCCATATCTAAGTTTAGGCATCGCATTAAGCAACCATTTGGGATAGTTTCCTGAATGTGCGAGACATTCAATTGGAAATTTCAAGTGGGAGTGAGTACGGAGTTCTGGGTGTCGCTGTCGGCGGGGGTCACAATTTGCATCTCATAGAACGGACAACGTTATCAGATGTTATATATAATACATTCCACAGTGCCATTGCCATTGCCATTGCCATTGCCATTGCCGTTTCCGTTTCGCTGAAGCCCATCCTGGGACCTGGAACGTCGCACATCATTCGCCTGTGCGTAATATCCTGCTCCTGCTGCGTTTTATGTACCATTCCTCGGGGGGTTGGGCCCAACACTTTTCGTAATAAGTGTATTTACTTTGGCCTCGGTATCGGTGTGTGACTCTGGGAATGGGTTTCGCAATAATGGATTTCATTAAGGCAGGCAGGACAATGCGGCACAGGCCTTCAGCTTCCTTTTGCCTTCACTCTCGCTCGCTCTCTCTGTGTGTGTTTGTGTGTGTCCTGACATGGACGCCAATTCAAAGTACGCCATGCGTAACAAATAAATTCATTAAGCGCAGCCAATGCTCAGCGTCGACGCTCAAACATTATCATCAATGGGCAGAGGGCAACAAAGGAGGACCAAAGGATACCACGGGAGGTGGTCGAAAGCTGGCGTAGAGACGGGTGCAGAGGGCACGGTGGTTAGTGGAACCGGTAACCGGCTGACTGAATGATAATAACAAAAGCCGCTCGGCTTGGCACGCGTAATTAAGTCGCATGCACTCGTACGAGGGGCCAGAGGAGTCGGGCACTGAGAGAAATTGGGAGTTACATTTAGAGTTGCTAAGTCAGAGATTAGCGTGGCAGCAGAGGGAACTTAAGAATTGTTTAGGAAATACTTATTTTTATTTATTTAATTTTCTTCATTTTTTATCTTATTTTTATATTTAATAACAAAGAAAAATAAGTGCAAAAATAATTAAATAAAAAAATGAAATTGAATTTAAAAAATTAATGGTGTAAAAAAAAATCACTCTAAACTAAAAAATAAATTCAATTTCCATTTCTTTTCCAAACGCAAATATTTTACACTTTAAATAACTTAATTAAAATATTTAATAAAAATAAATTTAGTTTATTTTTTTTTTAATTTAGTAAAGTTCCATTTAATTTTCTATTTACAATTTTCATTTAGTTTTCCTTAATTTTAGATTGAATATTTTTACATTTATGATTAATTTTATTTTTTTTTTTTAAGTTTTTCTCCCATTTTCATTGAATTTCTCTCCGTGCATCATTCCAATCAGCCCTTCCCCCGTCATTCCGCTGCCGAAATGTCGGCTCGATGTTTATGATTATGGGCAGCACCGAAAAATAGGCAGGAATCGAGGCCAGCAGAGGGACCCTGTGCAGGCAGCTCCTGCGGCCAGGATTAACGTGAAGTTGTCAAGTGTTTTTGTTGTTGCTGCTGCTTTTGGTGTTCTTCTTCCGGTGCTGCGACGTTTAATTAAAATGTACATGAGCCGTGAGAGAGTGAAAGATGAGAACACATTCCAGGAAGCAGCAGGGCGCGGGGTGCTGCTGGGTGCTGCCAACCGCAGAGCAAAAGTTATGGATGCCCTGCGATCCGCAGGCGCATCATAAATTTCAAATTAATCAATGGGCTTATGAGGACAACAAAGTCCTTTGGTGGCCCGGCCCCCGAAAAACCAAGGCTTAAAGGAAAATTGAAAGTTATGCGTGCGGCCAGGCAGTGTCCCGGGAAGGACCCTACGAAATGCATAAATTCCTTGAGCCCCGCAGATTTGCTGCTCTCTCATTTCCAGGCCTTTTATATGACAGCCCGACACTTGGCCTGATGGATGCCCGGGGCAAGGGTTCGAAACTCGCAAATTGTCGACGCAGTTAACGAGACTCGACTCTAGTTTCGGGTGCGGGGGCAGCTGGGGCAAGGACACATTTTATTACCACTTATGCAACATTTTCCAAGGAACATTCTTAGCAGCTTTGAAAAATCGAGGCATCAGTTGACAGCTGAGCGAAAATCAATCAAAAGCATTTGTTTTAGATGAGAAATTTATTTTAAAAAAAATAGCTAAAGGAGAATTTAAGTGTTCGCAGGAATATGACTTAAAAATCGAAGACTTTCCAATCTAAATATGATTGAACATTTCTCAAAGAATTGTTTCAGGATGTCCTGCAAAAGTGAAGGCTTACAGAGCAAAGAAATAATTTACTTTTACTCAAAACTATTGTGGATCTTAGCAAGAAAAGTATTTTAATTGCCAAATTATGCTTCAAAAATCAACAACTAAATTTACCTAACTTTGCCTTTCCCTTCATACATTTGCCTTCACCCTCTAGCAGAACCTGACCATTGTCCAATTAGCCCTCCAATTCACTGCCTACCCACAGTCTCAACTGAAGATAAAGTGCCCCAGAGGGGACTTAACTTTGCAAATAAATTGTAAAATTTTTTGGTACTCGCATAACCTGAAAGTGCCGCAATTTGATTAGCAATTAATCGGGGAAAAATTGTGTAATATTTAATTATATTTTAACGATTTTACACGCAGTTCGAATGCCGTCATGTTTGGGCTTAGCTCTTAGCTTTTGGCCCTTTTCGGACCGGGCGGATGGTCGGCTCTTCATTAGGCCACAAAATTGGAATTTATTGCGCAGATTTGAAAGCCACACGTGTGCGACGAGGCGAGGCAGAGAGAAGACCAAAACAAAAATGGTAAAAGGTAAGAAGTTGGCTGGGAGGAAACCCTTTTTGCCAGAGCAACAATAATGGAGTAATGGGCTAATTAGCCATTTCCAAGGCAGAGGTCCAGAAGCTGGCCCAACAATGGCTCGGCAAAGTGTTACAAATATCACACTTAAGGGGCAACAAAGAGAACTCGACCACGTATGGAGCGGAGCGGCCACCCGCCTGGTGATTAATCAAAGGCAATAACCGTGCAGCCAGACCGACTAGAACTGTTCATATTTCAAATGCGTATCCGCAGCAACAGTCGACTGCCCGACGGCCCGACGGCCCGCGCTCAACCCTCAATCATATGCAAATGGGCCAAGTGGCCGCAAAATGTTCAAGGATGTGGCCAGCAAACTACAAAATTATATGTATTTACATAACTCTCCCACCTCTGCAAAAAGTCTGAAGTTTTGGGAACTGCCTTGAATAATCACACAAAAAATAAAGCGGGCCTACTCCCTCCCTCCAGTTGCGGCGTCATTCAATGGGAACAGCTGACAGTAGCGGCCGACACAGTGGTTGCTGCGGCACATTTGAGTGCTCATAAATTTGATTGTATCATGAGATAGGGAGAATTTACGGCGCCTCTGAGTATATATTCTGCATAATTTTGTATGTCTAATTTGCACAGGGATAAGCAATCTGTCAATTAATCCTTGAATTATGCTCATTGATATGCGTTTTTAGTGGACTCTTGAATGGTTTTCTTTTAATTTGGTAAGCTATAATTGAAAACCAATAAATATAAGAATTACTTGACCGAATTTCGGTTGTAAAAATGTGCAAAAATGACGCCAAAAGGTAAGGGATTTTGTAGATTTTTATAGCAGCTCAACTTTGCTTGACCAAAAAGAATATTCTTGATGGGAAAAATAGATTTTATATGTCTAATTGTTGTATATTCCATTAACAATATTTATATTAGCAATTATCGTCCAATTTATTCTTTCAGCGCCGTTCCTGCATTACGGCTCCACAGTTACACTTGTTTATGCCAAAGTGAGTACAATTTTGTCTATCACAGCCACTGTGCCGCGGAATTCCACGCATATGCGTGATTATTTTGCGCCTCGATGGCGGCATGAAAATGTTAATTAAATGATTTTCCCAGCAAGGGAAACAACACAAAAAAATGAGCCAATGGCCAGCACCACCCTGGGCCGGAAAAGTGCCTCGAAATATGCATTACCAAAGGCAAAGGCATATATTAACGCTCAGATAGCGATCAGCGTCGATTCTGGGCCTGGGAGCGGGTCAAATGATTTTGCATAACGCTGCTAGAAATGTTACAAGCAAACAACAACAACAACAACAAAATGTCATGCGTAGCCGCAGGCTGGCAGGTCCGTGGGGTTTGCTTGAGTGACGACTGACAGCGCCTCGAATAGGGCCAACGCACGGCAGCGGATGGAGGAGGAGTGTGGTCCCAGAGCTCTGAGCCCGCTTTCCTCTTCACACGTCAACGAAAATTAGTTAACATTTTTTGGTATTTTGATGCCCTTACACCTGCTTATTAGCCACCGGGTCCATGGGTTTGCACAAGAGTCCCAGAGAGAGATCATTAGGATGGCAGGGCCAGAGGTCACAGGAAGTCTGATTGAACTGATTGATCGATGATGCTGCGCAGACTTCCCCTCAGCTGTCTTATAAATGATCTTGAAATGGTTTGCCCCATTCATCTTAATTGATAAATCAGGCACATAATTGAGATGAGAACAGAAGCAACTTTGGGCAGGAGTTAGCTGCTGCCTTGGGTTGTCATTTTGGCAGCTTTTTGAGGCTGGCAGAAAGGAATGATTTGTGCCAATAGATCTGCGTAGAATCAGCCTAAAAAAGAACGTGATTGATCGAAATTTATTTGATTTTCATCGCAAGTAAAAGAGACTTCGAGTCACGCTACACATTTATTTATGGCTATATTTATTGATCCTGTAACTACAAATCGTGTGCGGATGATCACGTCAGCAGTTTGGCTCTCAGAATATGTAAAATTAATTGAATATTAGGCAAATAAATTGTTGTAAATCGTGGAGTCACGAGACGTGCATGAAATAAATTCAAACTGTGGAAAGTTCTTTATGTAAAGATTCATTTAAAGCAAAGTTAGAGCAGCTCCAAGTCTACTTTCAAGGCTTACCATTAAAGCTTTGCAGGCTGGTGGGGCACCAACCCACCCCCCACTCGCCTTATGGACATTTTCCCCCACTTCTGGCTGGACGAGTGACGAGCGGGGGCTCTGCGATGGCTTTGGCATTTTCAATTGTTGCTAATGAGTGCCACAAATTAATTAGGTTACCGCCACCGTTTTTTGGACTCTTACATGACCATCGGCTTTGGCCTGGCCAGTGATAGTTGCTGCAAATTAGCATACATTTCTCTTTCTCTTTGTGTTTCTCTTTGTGTTTCTGTTTCGTTTCTTTTCACTTTGCTGGCACGGAAAATTGAGCAATTTTCCAACGTTTTTCCACGTTCGTGCGGCAAGTGAATTATTAATTTAAAATGCTCTTATCACGAAAACGGAAAGCCTCGGCATTCATGCTGCGATCTTATCTGGCCTAATGGATGACAAGGCCACTAAAATACGAGTGTCAAGCCGAAAAGTTGTCGGGCGAATGGCAGGGTCTGAGGCAGAGATCCCTATCGCCCTATCGATTACCTAATTATGAAGTTTCTTGTGGTCCTTAATTGAGGTTTTTACTTTCAAAAACTATTCTTAAATGTACAAATTTCTGACTGTTACTTGGTGCCAGTTTATGAATCAACTTCTGCTGCCCAAAAGTGGGCAAGTTCTGCCTGTAAAATAATTTCTTTGTGCAGTTCCACTTCCCTAGATCATTTATTGTTACAACTTTACGCTTCTTGGTTCCTTTGTCCTCTTTTTTGGATCCTGGCTGCCTTTCACATATCGCAAAACTTAATACGAATTAATGTTGTCAAGGTTTTTAAGATAAATTTCTCCTGCAACTTGCAACCCACACATGAGCTACATAAATAAATTTCTGCAAGTTATTTCCACCGATAAGGCGCATCTTTCCTTTATCATTTGCAGTTTTCGTGGTAGCCAAGGGCTCCCTCCCACCCGCAGGCAAATGTGAAACATTAAATTGTGACTTTTAGCAGGGTTTGGGTCCTGGCTACGCAGTTTCTAAGGGTTTTACCTTTTTTGCTGCCCCTCCTGCCACCATCTTTCGGGCAAATAGTGAGGATTATTAGGGCTTAGTCGTGGGGCTGTGTGTGTGTGTGTGTGTGTGTGTGTGTGTGTGCGGCACAATTACACATGCACAAAGGATACGCCTAAGCGGCTTATGCCAACGCATCGCAGAATGTTTCCGTCGCAGCGTCGCTGTAGGGTGGGAAACTTCGCTTTGTGGTGGGTTGGGCAGCGGTGTGGTGGGGTTCGGTGTGCTGCGGGTGCCGGCTGCTTGGGGGTTTCTGGTTCTCTTTTGGGTTCGCTCTGCGGTTTCCGGCTTGGGTAAGCGTCCTATTATGAACAGAAAAGTAACGCTAATGAGTAAATCAAGTGCACATGTGTGCCGTTGAACTGGAATACAGTCACCCACAGCACCGCCTCCCCCCCTGAGGCCCAGTGGATCCTTTGAAGCTGCGGCAAACGGCGTGTTGAGGCATAAATAAGCCTCTCGTTCTACCTAAGTCTTGGCCCACAGCCACTTGGCGCTCTTTTAATAGCTAAATTATGTAATCATGATGTGTGATACCAACACACACGCACACTGAGACACACACACACACATGCATGTGCTGGTATTTATGCAAATCCTGATGGCGCTGCCACGACGTTACTTCTTCTGAGAAAACTTTTACTTTGTTCAGGGAAACCAAGGAACCACGACACGACACAGCCTGCCCACCGTTACCCCTTGGCTGCCTCTTTTTCCTATGCCTTTGCCTGCCCCCTTTTTGAAATTCCTTTGGCTACGCCTTTGACGTTCCTTCTGCCTCTGTTTCTGTTTCTGTTCTTGTTTTAATTTGAAATTTTTCATAATGAGCAACGCAATGGGCGGAATTGAGGGGGCTGCGGGGTCAGAGGTCGGACGGTGGAGGTTCGTTGGTTCGTTGCCATAGTGTGAAGATTAAATTCTACTAATTAGAGATGCCAAGTGGGTGTTCGCGCCTCATATGTGTGGCAGCTACTGGCTATGGGTTGGGGGGAGGCCTAACCATCAAAGCAGTCAGCCAGCCTGGCAACACAATTCCCATCCAATGTGCTGCAAAGCCCTTGGTCTCATCATTGCAAACAAACTACAAAGAAACATTACACAAAAATATACGAGTTATTCACCAAGCAATGTGTAATTCCCTTGGCGCCAAGGATTTTGTGTGTTTAATCCACAGCTTCGAAAACAGAATCCAAAGCCAAATAAAGTCTCTCTCTCTCGCTCGCTTGCTCGCTCGCTGGGACTTTGGAAAGGGGAAACAAGCGGGATTTGGGAGCAGTTGTAATGCTGCAGCTTGGCGGAAGATTTGATGAGACATTTTACAGCAATTGCCAAAGCGTTCCTCTCTTAAAGCGTTTGCTCAGCAAACAACCGCAAGAGAGCGCTTAAGCGCCGCTCTTCGCTCGGCCGCTCTCTTTCGTTACCGAAATCTCTATCTCTATTCCTTTCTAGCGCGCGTCTCTCTGCACGCTGAGAGAGCGTGCGGAATAACTTATTGCTCCTCCGCAAGGTGAATTTAGGTATGAGTAAATATGAGAGGAGATTTTTAAAAGTTAAGTTGGCTTTGCAACACTCCCAAAACAGAGACTATTACTGAATACTTTTCCCCATGGGCTCCCTCTACCAAGATCCCATGGCCTCCGTGCACATGATTGTCATGGATGAAACCATTGGCCTGCGCGTGGTGCCGGACAAGCTGAGCCTCAGCGATCCAGTGTTGCTGCGCCATGTGCTCTGCTGCTCCATACTGCTGCACAATCTCTTCCATGTGGTGCTGTGCTGCCGGCAGCTGCGGCAGTGTAATCGCTCCCAGGAGCCACCGCGGCAGATGCGGCACGTAATGTCAGGGGCGGCGTTTCAGGCGGCAAAGGACACGGAAATGCACGCCGTAGAGCGACAGCTGATGGGCTACGTCTTCGATGCGATCTTCAGCTGCATGGAGCTGTACTTCGGTGTCTTCCACGTGATCTGGGACCGCACCATGGCGCTGTACGGGAACGTGGGTGAGATTGTTTGGCGCAACTTGGCCTACATGGCGCTCTTCTCCACGTACATGGTGATGCGCACCCTGCCGCTGGTCTTCTATGAGAAATTAGCGCTGGACAAGCGCTACAATGTGGATCCGGAGAAGGCGCCACCCCTGGTGGGTGTCATCTGTGCCTTGGCCTTTGTCATTGTCTTTGTCCAGGTGCTGCTCATCCCGCTGACCGCCGTCTTCCTGTACATTGAGATCTATGGGGGCTACTATTTTGTGTTCTGGATTTGGGGCTTCCTCTTTGCCGTCTCGCTGCTGGCGCTTCTCTTTTTTACCCTCTTTGGACTGCCCTGCCTGGGCAAGAGCATCCGACTGCCCGAAGGCTCGCTGAGAACTCAGCTGCTGAACGTCCTGGAGGAGTTCAATTTCCCCGCCAATCGTGTGACGCTTATGCACACCTTTCACATTGCCAATGCCACGGCTTATGTGTGGGGCTATGGCTGCTGCAAGCGTCTAGTGATCCTCGATAATCTCATACTGAATCGCGCCATGCCGCTGGATGAACTGCTGCCGGAGGAGCTCAACATGGGGCTGAGTGACAGCCAAGCGGCCGCCTTTGTGGCCCATCAACTCTCCCATTGGCGGCACTATCATCTGCTCAAAGGCTTCATTCTGATTCACATCAGCTTGATCATCTACATGGCGCTCTTCGGCACCTGCTACCATGTGCACGCGATCTACGAGGCGGCGGGTTTCCCGCACAATTCCTATCCCATTATCGTGGGCTATTGGCTGGTGTACAAGTACGTGATGCCGCCGTATCTGACCGTCTCCAATTGGATCGTTTT